TTCAAAGCCCGGAAAACATTTCTAAATGTATGATCGTTCTTTAGATTAGTTATCTCATAACAAATCCTTACGAAATTGAATCACCTGACCCAGAGTTTCGAAAAGTCGATCGATTTTGTGGTAATAAGAAACCCGATCTTATAACTGTGGAGTCGAGTCATGCAAGAATTCATTTCGTTAGTGACAACCTTTTACCAGCAACTGGATTTCGATTGGAGTGGAAGTTATTCGGTGAGTTTCTTTTGAAATTCTAAAGAAAGACGCATCAATGTCGAGTTATGCGCATTTTAGGATGTGGCGGAATTCTTACGGATCCATCAGGCAGTATATTTTCACCAAATTACCCAAATCGGTATGGATCAAGTGTTGAATGCAACTGGCAAATAAGTGTACCTCTCGGTAAGAGTATTGAAATCGAATTTGTGGATATGGACATCGAACGAGACTTTGGATGTCCTAACGATTATATTCAAGTAATTGCATCCATAATATGGGCAACGATGTAGGAGCATCTGGCAATTTGTCCGTTTTAGATATTCAATGGACCAGATAGTACTTATCCAGAGATCACAAAAATTTGTCATCAGCTTGAAAAAACTATAGTGCGCTCTTCGGGCAGTAACATGTTCCTGCTATTCAAAGCAGACTTCAATTTTGAAGGACGAGGGTTCTTCGCGACTTACTCGTCGACCTCTACAAGTCAGTACACTAAAGGTTATCCCCAATACCCATGTGTTACGGAAATAACATTTTTAGCATGTGGAGGAACAACAACCTCCTCTTCAGGCTACATCTTTTCTCCGAATTATCCCAAAAACTATGAGAAAAACGAAACTTGCGAATGGATGATTTCAGTTGATCCACATCATATAATCAGACTTCAATTTCAAGACTTTGATTTAGATGCAAGAGCCGATTGCAAAACTGATCACGTCAAGGTATATGCCACGGAGGAGAATCAAGGTTTAAATATTGTATTGAATATTTTAGGTATATGATGGTCCAACGCAAGCATATCCCGTCTTAACCACCCTTTGTGGTAACTCGAAAGGAAATCAAACAATTCACTCCTCCTATGAGCATATGCTAGTAGAGTTCAGAAGTGGCAATCATCTTACAAGCAAAGGCTTCAAGGCATTTTATGAACAAGTTTGTTGGCTGATTATGTGGGATTTTCATTCAAACGTTCAACCTTTACTCGTTGTAGGCATGTGGGGCGATAATTAAAACGTCTTCCAGTGGGATAATAAAACTTAGAAAAGAAATTATTTCGTACTCCTACGAAGAGGGAAGTGTATGTAATTATACTATAGAAGCTGAAGATAAATGTAGGTGTTATTCCTCCTTCCAAGACTCAAAGTTTAATTCACTTTAATCATTTCCAGCAAAACACGTACGACTTACCGTCACGAAGTTTGTTAAAGGAATAAGATGGTGCGACGATGAATATCCTGCAATTAAAATATATAACGGGTTTTATAATAGTTCGCCGATAATCGGATCATATTGCAGATCGACAATACCCCCAATTATCAGCGATGGATCAGCACTGCATATAGAAATACAAATGCCAATCGATTTATGGCTTAGTTACTCTGTATTGGAATCAGGTATTTCTACTCAGAATTAACAAGACAATTTTAAACCCGACGCTGTTTACAGATTGTGGGGGCGACCTATATTTGCCAGAAGGCTATATTGCAAGCCCTGGATATGCGAAAAGTTACCCAAATAACTTAGAATGCGTTTGGAATATAAATATGGGGCCAGGCAAGATCTTCTACATTTGTTCGTTAATATTTTGTATAATATGAACTTTTACAGGAAATATTGTATCAATGAATATTATTACTTTGGATATGCCAGAATCGGATAATTGCAACCAAGATTACCTAGAGGTTCGAGAAGACAGCTCCGAAGGGAAACTGCTGGGGGTCTTTTGTGGTACAAATAAACCCACTTCTCTTACAGCAGTTGGAAAAATGGTGCTGCTATTTAAAAGCAGTAACCTTTCACAGAGCATATTGCAGACGACGAAAGGATTTTATGCAGAGTTTAGTTCAAGTAAGAATTTGAAGCATTTGCTTATCAATTAGATCATTTCACAACTGCATTCTTTTAGGAGAAGATAATGTTTTGTATGGATCCGAAGGATTGATCGGAAACCTAAATTATCCGGATTTATCCCCATCGGATATGAATACTCGCAGTTGGTTGATCAACACTAATACTTCTACAATCATTGAACTAACATTTCAGGAGTTTGCTTTAGAATCTACCGGCAAAGAAGGCGAATGCTTCACAACTGCAATGAAAGTATGTAGCATAATTTTCTTCTAAATATGTAACTGGAGTCTTGTGGTTTGTGTTAGTTATATGATGGAATGGATGACGAAGCACCTCTTTTATATTCAGCATGCGGTCTTGTGAAAGATAAAACCGTTTTATCAACGTCTAATATGATGTACATTGTTTTGTCGTTGTATTCTGTTCGGACGGATGCCTATTTCTTATTGAAATGGCGGGAACTTCCTAAGAAAAGCGCCAAAACTAGTCACTCAAATACTACTACTTCAGGTAAAAAAATAATTGTATGCATGCGAATTAACTCTTTTGCCTTGTTGACGAAGAATTATGAAAACCATCGACAGATCTACATGTGGAAATAATTAACTTTCAGCTTGTACGTACGAGTATACATTAAATGGACAGTCAAATGTAACGCTCAGTTCACCGGGCTATCCAAATGGATATGCACACGATTCCAACTGTGAATGGATTTATAAAATTGAGCCACAATATCATTTGGAATTAGAATTTGTGGATTTAAGCCTGGAAACTTGGGGCAAATTTCGTCAATGCGTGTTTTCCGACACAGTCAAAGTGTATACGAAATACGAGAAAAATGGAGCATGGGTGCCTCTGATTCAGATTTGCAACAATTCTAAACCAGATGACAGATCTGTTGGAACTGATTTACTGAAAGTCGAATTTTCGACCAATAAATACTTTAATGGCAGCGGATTTCAGGCAGTCATTTTTGGAAGTAAGTAACGGTGGACTCTTTTTGGAGAAATAGCAGTCGGAAAATGCAACACTCATCAATTTATAGCTAGTTTGTAGCTACTTATCAACTAAAAAGCTTGGAAAGACATGGGTACTAACGTTTTTGAATTATTGAATTTTAGAGTGTGGAGGAAGCTTGACCGAACCAAATGGAAAAATAATATTCAACAAAGACCATGCACACGACGTCGAGGTATACCGCTAACCAAAGCATACAATTGATAGCCCAACCATAAATGAACAACTTTTTAGTGTCAATGGAATATTACAGTGCGACCTGGACGAACTATTAACATAAGATTTGTAGAATTTGATTTGAGTCAATCTGACCCTGATTCTAAATGTCGCAACTATTTAATGGTGAGAAACGGCAAATTTGCCGACAGTCCGTTCTTACAAAATGGTATATTTTGTGGCCCAAATCCGCCCTCCAGCCTGCAATCATCCAGTAACTATTTGTATTTGAAATATGTTGGATCAGCGCATGTTAAGGTAACAAACGAAAACATCTACAGATACTCTGAGCTAATCAGGAAGTTTTATAGGGATTCGAAATCGATTATTCTGAAGTATCATTTAGTTGCGGCGGTAGCATTCGACTCGGAGCTGAAGACTCTTACACTATTCAATCCCCCAACTATCCGAATGTGCCGCAGCCTCATACGGAATGTATATGGATTATCAGAGGGCCTCCAGGCACATCTCTGCAAGTTGAGTTTGAAGAACGATTTGATATTTCGGATGAACCCAGGTAAGAATATATTTTATCCAACAGAACACCGTTATTAAGCACGGAAACTGATAGACATGATGGACTATGTGGGACGGATTATGTCGAGCTGAGAGATGGAGCAACGGAAATAGCTGATGTAATAGGAACCTACTGTGATGATAGCCCTAGCACGCAGTTTACCTCCGGAAATTTCCTTCGAGTTAAGTACTTCACAGAGTCTAACGAGCCGAGAAATGGCTTCAAAGCAGAAGTTTCAATTGCAAAATGCGGTGGGACTTTGAAGAAATTGGGAACGATAGATTCGAAAACTTCAAAGATCAAGCTAGGATCGCCTTGTCAGTGGTTGCTAGTGGTTTCACAGGGTTATCACATTAGTATGACTCTTGATATACATCGTCGCAGTGATCGGCCATCAGTGATGAACTGCAATGCAGATAATGTATCAAAGATTACAATCAGTCAGCTTGGTATGGATTTTATAAATGGCTTTAACAAATCTGACTCGGAATTGGGCACTTTCTGCAGAAACATTAATAGCACCGTAATTACTTCAAGTACCAACAAAGTCATGGTGCGGTTTGAGCCTAAAGACGACTCGTATTCATTTACTCTTGATTTCAAGTGGGAAATGGAAGGTAAACTTTTACTGCAAGTCAAACCTCTGATGAAATGAGATTTTGAGAATTTATTTTTCAGAATGTGGCGGTCATTTGGACCAGGAAACAGGCACGTTAATGTCACCGGGTTATCCAAACATGAGCTTCAAGAATCACTACTGCTGGTGGGGAATCACGGTACCCAAAGGTCGAAGAATTTCGTTGCTTATAGAAGATCTGGATATTGACGAATTGACATTTTTCCTGATATTTGAAGGCGCCCAAGAGGGCCCTAAACTTATTAAACGGAAAGACATCAAAGCAGGAGCCACTTACGAGACCAGTGATAATGGTGCTCATATTATTTACTGGCAGACCATTCCAAGCACTAGGCGAGGCGTGAAAATAACGTACACTTCTGAAAAGCCTACAGGTAGATATTGGGTATTCCTCGTTGGACATTTAAGAAGTACACTAAAATTCCAATTAATTTCAGTGTGTACAGGAAACTTCAACACAATTTCTGGAGAACTACATGCCCCAGAAGGGCTAAACACTTTCCTCTGTGAATATCAACACATTAGTAATCAGTCACAAACTTTGGGTATGGAACTGCAATTGACAATTGCTAGCCAAAATAGTGCTATGAAAAAACTAGTATGTCCTCGATCCACTGGAATTTCCATCAGTGGTATAAATATTCAGTCCTCATTTTGTCAAAGCACAAACAAACGTTATGCGATCGCCAGATCAGTTTCCCCTTTAACTACAATAACGGTACGACAGATACCTATTTGCACTGAATAGAAGCCCTAATTAAATATCTGTTCCAGGCGCGACAGTACTTAAACACCACTCTAAATTTCACGGTTTCATTTAAAACGTATCAGTGTGGAGGGAAATTAAATGAAGCAGTTCTAGGACAGCGGGGGACGATTTCTAGTCCAAACTTCCCCAATTCCTCAATAGATTCTGTCGAATGTGCTTGGTTGGTTTCGCTCAGTTCATCACAAATTAAAATCAATTTTACGACGTTCGAGTTACAAGATGATTGTGATAAAAACTATGTAGATATTTATAACGGCGAATCCTCAGCCGATCCTCATATTGGGAGATATTGTAATAACAATAAACCTCCGCTTATAGTTAGCCAGAGGGAAAATCTGCTCATAGAATACAAGTACCATAAAACTACTAATGACTCTTCAAAAGGATTCAGCCTGGACTATGAGCCACAACAGAAAGGTCTACATAATCCCTAATCTAATTCCAGCTATTGTCAAACAAACCAATTTCTGTTTTCAGGATGTGGCGGCATTTACCAAACGAATCAAGCTACAATTCAATCACCCAATTACAAACAAAATTACGATAACAATGTAGAATGTATATGGGACATAGAAACGTCTGAAGGAACAATGATCAATCTAGTTTTCTCTGGCAGGTTTCATATTGAAGAGAGCTCCAACTGTAGCAAAGATTTTATTGAAGTGAGCTAAAGGCAAATCCTATTTTCTTTTCATGACAACCATTCGTTTTAGATATTTGACTGGAAAGGAGTCGAGTGGACATCCTTGGGCAGAAAATGTGGAAGAAATAGACCCAACCAGATTTTATCCAGCAACAATAAGATGAAAATCATGTTTAGGAGCAATGAAAATGTTACGGCAACTGGTTTCGAAGTGAGTACCAGCGTTTTGATGAGAAATTTGTCAAACATCATATGAAACAAATTAACTAAATTGGCGATAACGATTAAGCAATAACTGGGAAAAAAAAATTTTAGGCAGGTTGGTCAATAAAATGTGGCGGAAAATTGCTGGCCGAGAAAGAAGAAAAGTTCCTTACAAGTCCACCTAATATCAATTATAACTGCACGTATGAAATAATATCGAGCAAGCGTAATGGGTTGGTAGGGATTAGGTTTGAGAAGTTTAGCTTGGGGGATGGTAAGTTTAGTAGGTTATTCTAGTATCATTCTGAAAATCCACTTTTCCAGCAACACACCAGAGCTGTTCATATCGCAATTTGACCATTATGGGATCTCCTCCGCGACTATCCATACTTCACAACAGACGACGACTGGTATTCTGCGCAAATAATATCCCTCCGACGCAAATGTACTCAAACTCCGTTACACTTAGTTACTTAAGTTCAATGGCTTACAACATGATAGGAGGATTCAAATTGGCCTATCGAGAAGAAAGTGTGTATCAAGTGTTTCCCAGAATTTGTTCATCTTTCCTGCAAACTAGGCCTGGGTAACACTGTGTTCAGTTGCGCTATTGAGTTGTTGCCGCACTCTGAGTTAACGAGTTATAACTCACCGGTTCATGAGTTATAAGTCACAAGTTATTAAAGCTTTACGAAACCAGAGACTGGAATTTTCACTCATTAAAAATGGCCATTAACATTTTTTCTGAGTAACGATTTACTACTTCAAACAACTAAAAAAGTAATCTAGATTTTCCCAGCAATAGAACTGAGTCCAAAGATAGTCGACGAGTTTTCTTGTAAAATCGATCTCTTAATTTTTCTGCATAAAAGATTCAGTTTGCCAAGTATTTCGCAGTAAAATATTAGGAAAAACGCGGTTTCTCTGCTTAGAGGCAGTGTTTTTCAGAAATATTGACCTAAAGGTGAAGAAACCCCAGTTTCTAAAAGTTTTCTAAATAACTGAATATACCCTTTCGCTTTTTCAGTTCGGGGAAATATTTTTGGAAAAAGCTCCAGAAATAATTATTATGATTTTGTCCATAATTCGAAGCTGCAAAAAGTTTTCCAAAAATGTTTAGAAAGCGGTTAAAGAAGCGATTGTTCCCATAAAATGTATCTTATAATTTTTCACAGAAAATACCTGAAGATTGACAGTATTTTAAGTAAAACTAAAAAAGAATTCGATTTTTGCGCAGAAAGAATTGCTTAAAGAAACTTTGTTGAAACCGGAATGACCTGGAAATTTAAATAAACTTTAAAAATCTTTTTTAAACTTTTGCTCTCTGGGCGTTTTCGGTTTTGGAGAAAACTTTAATGGTTTTTGGGGAAAAACGGGAGGAATTTACTTTCGTTTTTGTCCCGAACTCGACGCTGAAAAATTTTTCGAACATTTTTACAAAGCTATAAATTATCTAGTAATTTTTCGCGTAAAAGACCTCCAGATCGTTAGTATTTTTAAGTGAAACTCTACAAAATATAACGTTTTTGAGTAGAAAGTAAAGAAAAGAAATCAGTCAAAACTAAACAATCACATTTTTTTTACAAACTACAGTCTTCAGAGGTATGGAGGTAACGAGATTTCCAAGTGATCTGTTATAAACTTTCGTTTATTCTGTTCGTTTCTTTATATTATTTGATTTTTGTTCCAAATTCGAAGCTGTAAAGGGATTCCAAAACTTTTTACAAAGCGACGAAGGGTTTGAAATTTATTTGATAATTTTTCGCGGAAAATTGTCTCACTTTTTTAAGTAAAACTTTAGAAAATTGAACATTTAGAAGAAAGAGTAACTTGGCTAAAACTGGAAAATTCTGAAAATTTGAGGAAATTTGAAAAATATTATTAATCAATGAACTGAGTTACTGCGCTGGTGCATTGGGTTGGCGCACCAAGCCATTTGCGTAGCACTGAGCCAACTCCTAAAAATTCACTGAGTTACCCAGACCTAATTCAAACTGTTTCTCTAACAGCCTATTGTAGTCTTCACGAAAATGTATTGAAGATCGGATTTGAAGTAGGAACTAAAATTTCCCAGAAGCGCTACTATTTCTTTCGTTAATTCCGTTCTTTGTTAACTTTTCATAGGTTGTGGAGGAAATATATCTGCACCCACAGCTTTAGAATCTCACATCGCTCAAAGAAGCACGCAATTTGGTGTTATCTGCGAATGGTATATAACTGCTCCCTCCGACCAAGTGGTTGTACTAAGGTTTTGGAAATAAGCATAAATCTGCTTCGCAGTGTAACATTTTCCTTGCAGTATACACAAATTAAATACCTCAATGTTGACGAATTGCCTAGGGCCATCTGTAAATATATTCGATGGACATGACCAGCGGAATGAGAAACGATTAGCTCGCCTTTGTGGAAACATTGAAGAAGAGAAGCCTATTCCATCAAGCTCAAATACCATGTTGGTTAAATTGACGTTATCCTACTCGTACATTTCGGATTTCCAAGCGGAAGTATACTTCACATATGGTAAGCAGAACAATGAGTCCTACTGAAATTTGGATTGGCATTTATATTTTAGGCCCTGCGGCTGGATGTGGAGGAAAAATCAATTTAACAGAAACCACACAATTGCAGATGCCAACCAATCTGCCACATATGGATTGCCATTGGACAATTACAACTTCGAGAGATTATAAAGTTCAACTTGAATTTACAGATATTCAGTTATCAAATGCTTGCCCTAATCCCGTTAGGAATTATTCTTTTATATTTTGCGAGTGTTCCTATGCAGAGGTAAAGTCTCATTTTCATTTTCAGTGCACGCGTTAACTGAAAAGTTTTCTATCAAGAATTATCAATACTTCAGGTTAGAGATGGAGCGGGACCTTTTGCTGCTCAAATGATCAAGCTTTGCACCAGCACGAATGGACGGAATATTAAACTGACAACTTCATGGAATACAGCTTACGTACGACTATTCTCACTTACTTCGCAAAAAGAGCTGTTCAAGTTAACTCTGACGCCAGTAGAATGTAAGTTATATTTTACTAATAGCGAGAAGATTAACGACTATTGACGATTTTTAGCAAAATGTGGCCCAAGTGATTTAATAGCTGGCAAAGACTTCAAAGAGTTAACATCTCCCGATTATCCCAACAGCTATCCGGAAACGATTCAATGCACTTGGATAATAAGAAGTGCCGCTATTCTTGGCAAGATTCTGATTCATTTTGAGGACTTTGATTTCGGCACCTCACCATTCAGAACAAGTTGCGATGGCGATAGGCTTGAAATAGGAGAAGGTAGGAATCAAGAAATTATAAGTGAAGGATTTGGACCCAAAGCCACACATCGGAACATCAATATTTATGTAAGTAAAACGCATTAAGCTTGGTAACCATTTGTAATGACAAAACAAACTTACTTAAGGTTGTTGATGTAAAATGCCCTACATAAACCTCTCTAGAACCGAATTTGTAGTCGAACATACACAAATTCGGATTTCTACAGGGTATTTGTAGAGCAAGACATTACCTGAATAAAATTATACCAATACAGACATTTATTAATACCGATTTGAACACTTGTTATTAGCGTGTGGACCAAGTTGAAGTTTCTATCGACTTTCGCGGACTTCGCTTGTAAAAATCTCGGGTTATTAGGCCGTCGTGGATAGAAGTTTGGTGCGGACATTTCGCTAGCACGCATCTTCAGATGTTTGCTCGAACGAACACGCATCCAAACGTCCGACCAAATTCCTATCGACGAGGACAGTAAAAGATTTAATATTTCAATATCTGGTATCAGTTTATCGCATGTACAAGCTAATTTAATTTTCAGTAAGAAAATTGATAATTGAATATTTTTTTTCATATTTAGAACATTAGAGATCATGCAGTGACCTATGCATTTTGCGATAATTCCTTAAAACCTTTTGATCACTACTCCAGCGGACAAGCTGTAAAATTAAAGTTTTACAGTTTCCCCTATTCCGGAAAGAAAGGGAAGGGTTTTAAATTGAAATATGCCCTCTCAGGTAAAATGGCGACTTTCTAATTAAGAGCGATAGATAGTTTTAATTGATAATTTCAGGGTGCAACCGCACAATCGAATCAAATGATGGGCGAATTCAGAACGATGTAAATAACAAAGGTGATAGAGACTGTGCGACGATAATTAAAGCTGATCCAAACACCACAATATCCATCTACTTTATGACGTTCTATTTTATAAACCCTGACAAAAACTGTACGAAGTTTGGTTTAGAGGTGAAAGTGATTTCAGTCAATTCGAATGTATTTTTATTTCCGCAACTTTAGATACGAGAAGGGAATGAGACCGGGCCTCAGATTTTTAAAGCCTGCGGATATCAACTACCAAACCCCTTGTTCTCAAACTCAAGTCAGCTGTATATTAGAAGTTACAACTTAAACACTCGCAAGTCAAATGCCTACTATTCTTATAATTTAATGTACGTGGCATCAGAAAAGAAGTATGGATGTGGAGGAAAAATCTTCAATAGCATGGGAATGTTCTCTAGCCCTATGTATCCCAACCCCTACAGAGAAGATATTGAATGCACGTGGAATATATTGGTGCCGTTGGATTACAAAGTGGCATTGAAGTTTAAAGGTATTATTGCCAATGAGAGTAAACCGTACTTTACAAATTAAATTCTTGCAGAGTTTAACATTGGTGGCGGATGTGCGAAAAATAAACTGGTGGTAGAAACAAATGAGAATGATGTACCAACAGTTCACACTTTCTGTCCAGGGGTAAATAGTTGTTAGCGAAGATCTTTAAAATACATAAACTATTCTTTTTTCAGGATGCTACACCGGCAATTTTATATTCTAAGAATAGTCTGACACTCACTTATTATTCTTCGGTAAATAACGGAGGAAATGGATGGTTAGCAGTGTTTCAACCTACAAAATACGAAAGCGATATGTTGCTTAGGATATAAATCAGTCACCTATATATATGTAGGAAAATATATGCAAATTAGAATGTTTTAACCAATAAACGACACTATTGATTTGTGAAAAGCCCAGGAAAAATAACGTTTATAACCCAGACGAATTTAACAAGTTGCTGTTGCCGTTCGTTGTGTACCAAAGAAGCAGCGGAATTGTTTGGAAAATATTAGTATTTGCTGTAATAAAAACAATGAATAATTGAAAAAATTAAGTTCTGCTCAAGCTCCACCTAGTCAATTATTAAAACTACATAAGGAAACAATGCTGAATAACTGTTCGAGCGAAACAGTTGGAAGAAAATTGATTTACCTGTTTTTTTCTGCCTGAAAACTTCGGATTTCTGCCAAAATCGGAACAATTTTGGCTACAAGTTGTCCCGGGAATAAATTTTTACCAGATTTGTCAAAAATTGTCATGCGCGCTTAGAGCAAAACAAAAATAAAAGCCAGCCAGATCAATGTTACCAATACAACAAAATTACAACATTATTTATATAACTTTCATAAATCGTGATTGAATGAAACCTTCTACAACTGTGCTTCTACAAGTTCAAGTGATATATTATAGTTGTAAATATCATCGTTGTCTATCAATTAGAAGTTAAATATACATATATATTAAATTAGTGTTTTTCTCAATCCTTTTACCCGCTGATAGCTTACTTATGAGTTAATTCAAATATCTTGCAACCTCCCTTTTGTGAATTCGCTCAAATTTTTAATTAAGTATGCAAAAAGGTTCGCGCAATACTCGCGCAGTACGTCACTTTTATCGATTTCAATTTGTTTTGGGATATCAAAAATGTTGGACTGAGTATTTTACTTGTCGTATAATTTACTGTTTATTTTGACTCGTGGTGTCATGTCATTTAATTGCTTTGGAAAGTTAAGCCCAGGTTTTCCCCCAAGCTTTTGCCGATCCCATAAGCTTCTGTGCCACAAACACTCCGTACAGGACTAGAAATATGACAAAACAAAGATTCCTGTAAGGAACAAAACCTGTGCTTTAGATTTGAACAAATATAACTAGAATTAATAAAAATTTTCCAGGGATATCATAGTAGAAAGAGGAAAATTCGTAAACATATCAGTCAATTAAGGAAATTGACCAAAACGTAAACCATTTCAAAATCAACATGACCAACTACTAACACTAAAAGCCCTAGTGGCTCCCAGCTGATAAATCTCATTTTATCTCAATTATTGCTATTAGTATTAGTAAACTGTCAGATTTCGTTATAGGTTCTAGCATGTGAAAAATGTGTTTAATAAGATGCAGTAAATTAAATAATTAATAGATTTGATATTTATCTGATTATTTAACTTTCAGGTTAATACCTTGTTTTAAGCCGCGCCCTTTAACCACATAATTATATGGATCTCTGAAATGAATTCCTTTGTAAGACTGAAACAGGATAACTAGTTGAATTATGGCTGTTCCTGGGACTGAACGAAAAGGATCTTGCTTTTGGTGTTTAAAGGCTGTTAAATGGATACCTGTACTGTTCATCATTACCATTGTAGCTTGGTCTTATTATGCATATGTTATACAACTGTGTCTTAGTAAGTTGAGACTTTGATACAGCTTATTCAGCTCAGTTTCTTGCGAATACTCGCCTGCTTTTGTTAACTAAATGACTCAACTAATGTCTGCCACTATTAGTCATTTTCTCAAAAGGAAATTAAATTGTGGAAGAGAGCGGTCTTATTGTCACCCCTAAAGTTGGTTGATGCATAGCCCCAAATTTAATCTTAGATTTATTTACATGAAATTCATTTGGAAAGTGCCTCCTGGACATTAGTAATATTTTGGATATTTCACCGATTATCTTGATATCTGTTTCATTGGAAAGCTTATCACGATCAGGTCAATGTCGTCAATTTATTTCGTGATGTGGAACCCCACCTGCCTTTTAATATTCAAATCCTAAAAATTCTACTGGTTTTCATTTACAAGAGCAGACCATTTCATTCCAATTGAGGATTCAAACGTGCTGAGGCCAAAAAATCAATTGCGCCTCTGTAACATATCTTAGCAATGAATATTTCTTTTAGTTACTGTGGAAAATACGATCGCCCAGATATTCTACTTCATATTTTTCCATTTATTCTTCTTCATGTTCTGTTGGTCGTACGCGCAAACAATTTTTACAGACATTGGAAGAGTGCCTAATAATGTAAGTGATTCAGACGCTAGAAAGTTGCAGAATAGTGAAAACTTTGCTATTTTAGTTTAGATTAGCAGAAGCTGATTTTGAAGCTTACTTACATCACAATGATTCATTGGAACTCCAGAATAGAATATTAGAAAACTGTTCAAAAAATTTACCTGTAACTAATGTTACAATAGGAGGAACTGTTAGGTTCTGCGACAAATGTAAAATGATTAAACCTGATAGAACACACCATTGTTCAGTTTGTGGGGAATGTGTATTAAAAATGGATCACCACTGCCCATGGATAAACAACTGTGTCTGTTTTACAAATTACAAATTTTTTGTGCTATTCCTTGGATATGCGCTACTTTATTGCATTTATATATGCTTAACATCTTTACCATATTTCATCGCATTTTGGAAGGTAAATGTGAATGAAAGTTTATTTCGCATTGAAATATAGATCATGTTTCAGGGAGACCTACAAGGAATGGGTAGTTTCCACATACTTTTCTTGTTCTTTGTAGCAATTATGTTTGGCGTGAGTTTAATGTCATTATTTGGATATCACTGTTATCTAGTATTAGAAAATAGAACTACACTTGGTGAGTACTCAATTATTTTTTCTATAAGTTACCAATTTCCAACATCCCAGTAATCCATCAATGGATGTGACTAAAATAGTTTTGTATGTTTTTTGCAGAAGCATTTCGTCCTCCGAGTTTTCGCGGCGTTGGTGCCGATAAATATGGCTTCCACTTGGGACGCTTCAAAAACTTTAAAGAAGTGTTTGGAGAAGATGCAAAAACATGGTTTCTCCCAGTCAGCACAAGGTAATGCATTCCAATATCACCGCCCCAATATGATCATTCAAGTTTGGCCATTGCTTTAATTGTGTGATAAATATACTTTTTCTACCATTGCTTTGGTTTCTTTCGTATTTATTCTTATTACATAAGACAATATTTAAAGAGCAAATGGCTTTGGTTAAAATTGGTGGTGTATTTAGCAGATATAAGCAAAAGTATGCGAACTAAAAAAACAATTGCGACATGGTTATAATTAATAATGTTAAAAAAATCGAGAAATAGACATTGTGTGCATTCATTCGAACGTTCACGATGGAAAAATGGATTGAAAATTTAGTGGATAATTTCAGTTAAAACTGTGCAAAAAAACACGTAAATTAGTTTTCGCAAATGTGGTTTTTTAAAATAAAGTTTAATTTGGAAACTAATCGACGTGTCTTTATATATGGTAAGGGCTTGGGTCATTACTAAAAGTGTGTTAATTTAAACTCCTTAAAATATGTCATTTTCTCTACCTCTGAATCGGAGAAAAAGACTAAAGTTCTAAAACAGCAAACTGGTGGATTAATTAAATTGTTATTGCAACCGAAACAACAAGTAAAAAACGATGATTCTGTAACTGATCCAATCAGGCAACTGGACAGAAATAATACCGTTTTACTTGGCCGAATTCACATTAAAATTTTCAATTTAAAATTCAATACTTTTCTAGTTTGGGTGACGGTATTCAGTACCCTATTCATTCGAGGCTTCTTCAAGGTCCCACTTACTACTCTATGGACAACACACAAAACAGGTTAGACAACCCAAGTTTGCCTATTGCTATCTAGCTACGTAACATGCATACTATTTTAACATAATTAACAAAATAAGTGTTATTTTACAATAACAATTTGTAGTTGTTTAATTCGTTAAATAAGTTCCGTGTTTTTTACCCATATCTAACTATTTAATTAGGTACTAACTAAATAAGTGCGTAAAATCGGAAATTCGTTGTCTTTTAGACTAGTGGGTTCTTGACGCTTTTTGTTTAGGATAGTTGAGCAATCGATTTTATTTATTTCAAAAAATCCCATTTTCGTCTGCCGTGTTTGAAAATTTTCGTTGTTTTTCTTAAAATGTAGAAATAAGCTATTTAAAAAATAATTTTGTTCCACAGGATTTCAGAGTTTTTGCGGCAACTTACACGTTAAAAAAAAATAAAAGGCAAATATCATCGTTTACTGTTAATTCTATAGATACCGAGATTTATTTCAGGATATTGCGGGCGCCACTTATATACGTTGCACAAACTAAAATATATTTATAAATTCCCATTCCCATTGCTATATTTAAATGTGAAAAACTATCTTAAACAAAAATAGATCGCTAATCGCCAAAAATTGTTAAGTTATCAAAGACAGGCGGGCGATACGTTGTGGAAGTCTGCATATCTCTTCATCCACTTCAATCGACGAAAATACGTTATCATTCAATTGTGTTCTTATACATGATAAACCCTTCATTGCATCATTAACAAAGTATTAGTCTACATTCTAAAAGTGTTTTCGTTGTCTGAGGTTTGTGCATGGATTTAGGCTTAATTATATCATATTACCATTGTTATTTCGCTTTATATAATTTTCAAAAATTCTGATTATTACAACTAGTTTAAATTATCTGTCAAAATTATTAAGTAGAAACATGGGTATTTAATAGTAGTGCATGTAAACAGCTTCATTGCAGTTGAACTTGAAGAAGATGAAAAATTTAACGAGAATTTTTTCCAAGCAGCCGAAGTGACCTGGAATCCGAAACCAGTAAACTCAATCCTGGCCATACAGAAATATCTATATTATAGTTTTATCGTAAATATCAATAACTTAGTACTTAATGACAAGTATTGTAATTTTTTAATAAATGTTTTCTTAATTTACTTTTTGTTTATAATTTTATTTAACCTTGTGTTTAAATTAACAGTCTTCAGTACTTGACCCGAATTCATTATTCCATCCACTTTAATAACTGTAACCGTTTATAATCGATAAAACGAGCAAATTTAAAGCAATGGCGTGGCTTAGATCGTTAATAGTGTACGTAAATGTAGTGTAAAATTAGCAGCAGGCTCAACGGAATTTTATATTCCAGTAATTTTCTGCTGCCAAATGCTTCATCTTGATGTGATGAGCGCATAGGAGATTTGCAGAAAATCTAGTTCCTTAGTCTTGAATATTAATTATTTCTGTCTATAGTCTGGGAGATGGAATTTCATTTCCTCAAAGGAACATGGACGAAGACCAAGAAGGATTACTTCATGAACATCCCTTTGACGAAGAAGAACTTAGGTACCCCTAATTCTTCGATTATATTTATCTAACTTTAAGTTGGCTAAAGTGATTATGTGCTAAATCCGAATTTTTTACTTTATGTATAAAAAATATGCAATGTATTAATTGCGAACTATTATTCATATTGGGCTAAATGTACATTGCGCAACCATAAATCAAGAGGGGCCTTGCCTATTTTGAGCAGTTAGTTCAGCTAAACCAGTATACTTAAAGAAGACCTTGTATGTATGAGTGTGTGAACTTTAGCATTCCGTTATAAATTTTGTGATTATAACCCATTGATTGTTCTATAAGAAAATCTAGTCATTTGTTCATATTTGCGTATTTAGATGAACCATTTAGTATTTGGTGTTTCCAATAGTTTCCATACTTTATTGAACATAGTACTTTAAAAATTATTAAAATTAATCGCAGTGCGGGCTAGTACAATCTATATTTATTTTTATAGATAATAAACCGTCAAAATCAAAATGGAGTTTTATTGAAAATTCATTCCAATTAACCCCCGAATTTCATGGTAATTAACATACTGGAAAAACTTTTTTTGAAAAACATTTATTAAAAATATGATCCAATGAAAATTGCAAGAGGTGCCAAAATATGGTATCAAACAAAAAATGTATACTTCACAAATATATGAAAACAACAATCGTTAACAGGAATAGATCATATCCTAAGTCTAAATATGCACATATATGGTTGGTTTTATTATTCAGAACCAATGTTAGCCTACTTCAATTATACATATTTGCAATTTTTCACGTTAATTGACCATTATTGGCAACAATTTACGTCCTCTCTGACTCATAATTCAATATATCATTAACAATTTAAGAGTATAACTTCTAAAGGGTCTAAGTCCCAAAAGCCTAAAGTTGAGAAAATCAACAAAAACACTTTAAAATATTAATAAAACCACTGACATATATTTTTTTTATATGTATATATAGTATATATACAGACCCTTTTCAGATGCATTGGGGTTGGCACTTGCGACCGTTTTTAAGCAAAATATAGATTTTTGAATATATGGCACTTAGACCCTTTAGAAGTTATACTCTTCAATTATGTTAAGCAGTAACGTTATTATATTTAAAATGTAAGGATGACCTTCCAATTTATTAATTAATATATGGCACCTTATATTTCAAGCTATAACAATGTTTTTTAAGCGTCACTTATAAAAATTTTGAGCAGACAATACAAAAAATAAAAATACCTTTAAAACTCAAATGCTTAATAAGAGCGAGTACTGCCTTAAACGTTTAGCAGCAACTATGCCTTAGAAATTAAATCTAGAGTAACCTAACAGCACGTTTATAGTCACATACTAGAGTGGAAGTTTACAGTCAAATGACCAATCTTATATCTATTAATGAGAATAAATATTATTGAAAGATGCGATTTTATGTGCAACATAATTTAGTTTTTAAATATTTTATGCATTTTTTCACTGGAAAAAGTTAATACCTTAATTAACTATTGCGAAACACTGGAACTAAAATGTGATGAAAAGCAAACGAAAGCATTTCAGATATGTGTACTGTTTAGTGATATGAATGAAAGCAAATACTGCTACCGACCGGGCTAAATGAATGTAAGTATATCCTTAAAATTCAATATTTTATTCCTGTTAAATATTTCATCGGAATATACCATTTTAGGAATGAGTAACAGTGAATTTTGAAAAGGTGACGCAGTGATGCCGAAATGGCTTGGTGCGCCAACCCAACCACCGGCACAGTAACTCACCGGTGCAGTTGCATTGCAGTTACCCATTTGGTAAAATGTTGCTCCTAAAAAAATGGTGACCTTTTTATTGTTAGGTGTTAAATTTATTTAATCTAATAAGCTTTAATCCGCCCTGGGTTAAATGAGAGACAGCGTGAGACGCGATGAGTTATAACGAAAAATTCTCACCAAGTTCAGAGTTGTGGGTTCAGTAAAGAAGAGTGCACTCTAAATGTCTTCAAAATTTCATTTAAATCACATGAAATACTGAATTTTGCGCGCTTCGTAACTGTTGATTTGAAAATGCACGGTTTTACGCAACTGCACTGTTCAATAAAAAAAATTCCAAATTCAGCCAGTAGCAATATTGACATTCTGTAGAAAATGCTTTTTTTAATGAAATATTTGCGTAAACTTGCATCTAAATATCAGACAGACAACACTTATTATTATTCAAATGTTATTCCTGAATCGAATTTCCAATTCTCTATCCAATGGTATAAAAACGAACGTGGCTCAAATGGTTCTTTGGCTTCGTAATTAAAAAACGGTACGAAACTAAAACTCTTGACTTTTATGGCAAAAAAAACATAAAGCTGTAACACAAATTTTCATATCTGAAGCGGTTCTTTAGGGAAAGGCTTCAGAATCAACTTGATATACAAAATATTCCCAAAATTTAATAATTAATTGGGAAAGAATCAATAGCTCAATCGGTGGTAGCAAATCACCCTAAGAGTCAGTTCATGAATATGAGACTAAAAGTTGTACATTGTACAAGCTTGTTTTAATTTGACAAATCAATTAATCTGTACAATTTTATAAATCTTGCTCCCTAATAATTTTTATTATTATCAATTTTAGTTTTTCGTTGTGCACTGCAGCGGCATGAAATTCAGACAAATATAAATGGCGCTAAATTTAAAATGAAATTAGTGAAAGATCAACGTTTAGAGCGTTTTCCGTTTAGTGGTTGTTGACTTTCGTTAAGTTGGAACGTTAAATTTGTCTTAGGAAATATTGCCATGCGAAAAGACACTTTCTACAAAAATGTCAACAATAAACAAACTAAAATCGAACTGCTAAGTAAAGCATGAATCATCGAAAGGGCGAACAAGCACATGATTAAATAATCATATCTATTCAGTACTTCAGTGTCCTTTTTTGCGAAAAGGTGAAAATTCGTACATCTTTTCGGTATTACATTAGTTTGCTACCGACAGTTTCGTGAGAAGCGCAGTCTTAGATGAGAAATATAGAATTATCGTAACCCTTTAGGCAAGAGCAGTTGTCTATCTGCTTCCTAACTGTAGAATTAAAGTTTTCAAAGTGCAGTGAACTTTTTGAGGATAATGGGAAAAAAATTGAGAATGGAGGCGCCAGCTTGCAAATAACTGGTAAGAATGATCTCTGATCTATAAATCTTTTAGCTTGAATTGAGTTCAGTTTTCCGACAAGCAACTGAACTTTTCATATTCTTTATATTTCTCTTTGCTTTGCTGATTTCAAATAAATTTGGTTAAATGAAAAAAATTAGATGAATAAATCATGAGTTTTGGTTTTGCCTGTTTTTTTTATTGCAAAATCGAAAAACCATTTGAGCCACACAGTTCGTTTTTATACTATTCGATAGAGAATTGGAAATTCGATTCAGTTATAAAACAACGTGCATGAGAGTTAATTCTGGTTGATTTGTCACAAAAAGTCGCACCAAATTTCAATATCAGACATTTAGGTGCAAGTTTAAGCCACATTTTCCTTAAAAAAGCATCTTCAACAGAATGTCAATCTTTCAGGTCTCCATAGGCTGTACTTTAGAAGTTGAATTTTTTATTGAAGAGTGCCGTTGTGTAAAACCTTGCATTTTCAAATCAATGTTTACAAAGCGCGCAAAATTCAGTATTTCATGTGGTTTAAATGAAATTTTGAAGACGTTCAGAGCTCTTCTTTACTGAACGCACAACTCTGGACTTGTAGAGTATTTTTCGTTTCTGAGAAATTCGTTATAACTCATCGCGTCTCACTGTGCCGCATTTTTAATTACGCTTAGCATTTAACCCGGGGGCGGATTAAAAAAATGTCACCACACTTTTAGGAGCACATTTTACAAAATGGGTGACTGTAACGCAACTGCACCGGTGGATTGGGTTGGCGCACCAAGGCATCACTGCGCCAGCTCCTCAAAATTCACTGAGTTTCCCATGCCTACATTTCCATTCGATAATTTTAAAAGGAATTAAAAGAAAACTATAGTAGACTATAAATATATACAATATATAAATATGAAGATCTATTAACACATTATATATATGAAACAATGGAACAAGTTGTCTTGGGTATTCAATCTGGGCAGTGGTGAGAAACAGAACATTTTTCTAGCTGCTAAGCTTTCGGCAATTAATTTTTTTGTCTTCATCAGGGTGCAGATTTATTAATATTACACCCTTTTAATTGGGAAATAAATTGTTTCCTTGTGTCACATTAAGTTCCCGGGTCAGTCGTAGGCAATGATTTAAATTAACAGTATGTAGAAAACCATTAAAATTCCTATCCTAAAACAGACTCAAAGCCTCGTACATTCACAATGAGTTTGTGTAACTAAAAAAAAACATTCTATTTCTTACCCCTACTGAGACCAAGACAACTTGTTCAATTGCTCTTGCACCGGTCAAGAAATTATCTCCTAATTACATATATGAGGTGTCCTAAAATATGTGTACACGTTCATACAAATGATAATTTAATTGAAGTCTTTAAATCAGACTTTACTGTTTCCGACCATCAATGTCCCAAAGAACGCACTTCAATGAAAATGAAACCTTAAAATACGATGTCATGCCTACATAAAAATCGTCAATGAGCTCCTAAGCACCTTTCAAACATTATCAATCAATTTCTCGCTACATACAATGCAATAGAACATATTGTCTACATGCATTTATGTTAATAACATAATTCTAATTTGAGATAAAAGGAATTATATAAAAATATAATCCTGTAATATGGTTATTTAAACTGCTAACAAATACATTAGCTTACTCACAATATTAAACAAGAACACTTATAATATAACAGAATTATTAGTGTATTGACATGCTACCTTGTAAAATGATGCGGTTTCATGTGAAAATCTCTTAGAATAACCAGAAAATATACTGCATAAAAATATGAGTGTATAGGATGGCTATTGTTAATCGGTTAAAAGTCGGAAAATCGTGTTTCAAAGCATATTTATTGTGGGAAATTTTAAGCAGGTCTGAAAGTGCCAGCAGAACTCCAGTCTATAAAGTTCTAAATTATCCACAATACAGGATAAAATGTTTAGAGATGAACTGTAAACTATTTTAAATTTGCCACCATTTGGGTCTAGTCAGACTGCCAAAAAAGTGCCGCAAAAAGTGGCTATGTAAACAGTCCACCGGTAATAAAAGTGATTTTTCTGAAAATTGTAACATCAACGCGAAATGTCATACATGGATATTCAAATTTTTCCAACAGTAAATTACATTTTCAACAGGCAGTAAAAATTCCGAAATGATCACCCATTCGCAACTTTTTCAAAACAATTTTTAATATAAAATCAATAGGTAAGACATATTGGGACATGGAATAACACAGATTGCTACTACAAAAGATGCGAAAACTTCAGCTCATCAATTATTTTTGTAGTTTGGCTCAACAATTTAAAATACGCCATTTTTATTTTCTATAAAGATTTGTAATTCAAACTGTTGGAACTCGGAAGTATACCAAAAAAAATCACTATAAGCCAGTGACAACGCATAGATTTACTTGTGGATCAAGTAGAATTTGCATTTACTTCGGATTTACCCAGTCAGTGAATCTGATCTAATACCATGTGGCTATGGATTGAGATAAAGCTACAAAAACGACCCAGAAAAGGCTACATAAAATTGTGTACACCAATAATTAATTTGACAAAAATAGTAAAATATTTAAATGGTTTTATTCGCTTTTACTGAGGGCAAGCAAAATTTTCCAGTGTTGGGATTTTCACAATGCTCATCTCTATAAGAGAATCCAATGACATGAGATCGACGCAAAACCTTTACACATCGCGGACTAGGCGATTTATCTTTTTCAATAACTAAAGCTCGCTTTGTACGTTTGGGTCCGATTATCTCTTCACGTTTAATATGACCGTTTTTAAACGCCAGGCCGTTTTGGCAAATTCCGCTGCTTTTGCCAGATCGCCTGGTGTTCAGCTGTATTTTATCAGCGGAACTTACAATTGTCGTTACCAACTTTCTAGTGGTGGCCATTTTTCTCGTTGGGGTTTCTTTGGCTTCGATTCTGTCGAAAAAGACACAGTAAACAATGACTTACTTAGCTGCCGAAATCAAGTTTAGCGTGCAGTGCTCAACACCCCTTTCAACCCCACTGATAGCTTGGCGATATGATCTTGCTTTTCTCGCAAGACCAAGACCAGTCTCGCTCATCACTACCTCTGATGGAAAATGAAAAATCAATATTTCAGACCCTTGAGATAATAGTCAACGAATTAAGCTATACATTGCAAAAAATGTATATATTAAAATCGGTTACTTAATTGAGACAAAAGCAAATTTGAACTTTCCAAAAATCAGCCACTTTTTTTTGTTTTGGAACTGCGTGTAGATGCGTAGTGAGTACAAGCGATGTTGACAACACAGCAGGTGTTTCCAACAGAAGGATTAGATCCGTTGAATTGCCACCCAAGTGTCTAGACCTCGGCTTTTTAGACCAGTTTTTTTTTATGAAACATAAAGCTGAACCAATAGCGCAACATTAACCAAACTGCTCACCAAAGCCAAATAGCTTTGGCTCAACAAAGCCAAACGTTACAGAGCCAAATAACTTTAGAACTGGACAATTTCTGACTACTTCGCACAATTTGGTTTCCATTTGGTTTTTTATTAGTCAATATTTTGGTAAAAAGTAAACACTTTAGATACGTTTTATTTAGGGTGGCAAATGAAAAACTGGGGAAAGTTCGGCATGCTCCCAGTTGGACAGATGTTTTTTGGTTCTCAACACTAAGAGTTTAAAGATAAAGCAAATAGCACCAAACGGATTTAACTTTTTTAGATTTTGAACTATTTTATTTACAGGGTTTATGTTTCTGCTTAGTCCGATTTTCACAATCGTATAACATTTTTTTCTCAATAAGACGGCGCAATTTTAGTTTCAACTTGAGCCTTAGATTTCGCTAATCGGTTCAAAAGAAAAAAATGTGACTGGAAGACAAAAGTTTATTTTTTTAATACCACTCTGTAAAGAAACGAGATGGGCAAAACAACACAAACTGTTTTCAAAATTTGGTTTCTATTTTAATATCTGTGTCGACTAAGAGCATGTGGAACTTTCACCAATTCTGCAATGTTTCTTTGTCACCCTGTAGTAACTTTATCTGTTCCAGTTACAGTTCCAATAATTTCGTCTCTAAAATACAGTAAAATTGAATTTATCAAAAAATGATTATAGAATATATCGTGTTATATGTAACATTGCGATCTTTCAATTCGATAAAACATTCCATATTGAGAAAATTCCTCACTTTATGTTGTGCCCTACTCTCATTACCTGGTAGCATTCTAAGAGGGACACAGAAAATAATCAACTAACAAACCAACAAAAATACGGTGATTAGCTCAACACTACACCCGCCTGGGTAAAAACAAAACTATCATCCAAACACCGTTAAAATATAGAAAACCATCCAAATAAATAAAGTAAACACAATTTTCAAATCAAATTTCACATAAACCACATTTAAGACAAAAAAGTGCTTAGTGAAAATTTTTTTGAAGGGAAAATAATTTAGTAATGATCAAATAGATCAAGTGCATATAACGTGAATAACCCGGTGTTAACTGTTTACTTTTTGTAATATTTAAACACACTCGAGTTTTCATATACATACATATTACATAAATTGCAGATAATCCATTAATACTATAAGAAACGCTTTCATTTTAAATCCATTAAGGAACTGAAACTTAAGGTCGGAGCGGCAAATAAAGAGGTTTGACTGCACATTACTAACATCGGTTTTCAAACAACCGGACTAAAGCAAGTTCGAAAATCGTTGTTAATAAGATAGATAGAGAAATTGCTGAATGCCGTTCCAAATTCAAATTCTAATGTGCATGTAACTCTATAGTCTGTACCACCTTCAAAGGCATGCTGTTCGGGAAAGCGTGATTAAGGAGAAAACAAACGTGTCTTTGACCTGACAACACAAAGCGCCAAACATTTTATAATCAATGAAGCAAATGTGTGAATAGTGAGAACGCAAATAGAAGCAAACAATTATGCTTTTCAGAATATAGCAAATTATTTTTATTGCTCTTATGAAATGTTCAATGTTAGGTTTTAGAGCGATTAAAGAAGGTAACCAGTAATCGAAGATTTTCAATTGGGACATTTGCTAAATCTTTAAACGGCGGTATTGCATTTCGGTGAATACTGTATCTGCTATGTCCAAAAAAAAAATTCTATTTAAATGCCCGTTGAAGTTTCAACATTACAATAGGCTAATTTATGAGAATTTCAATGTAAGCATGTGTTGTTAGATAAAATGTTAAGCGAAGAGGAAATTTGATGAAAAAATTATTTCAAGATATAAGTACGCTTGTTTTCAAATGCGAGAACACCAAAAATTGGTAAGAGAGCGTGACATCATATCCATGCATATACTGTGTGTTCAAACAACAGAAACACAAGCCATGCCCGCCTCAAGCAAAATAATGTCACATCAAACCAACCTTTTGGTCATGACACGACTTGTGCTTGAACCAGTAACTCTGGCGGCAGATGTAACGACTTTTCCGCCTCGAAGAACAGTCTGATTATTTGTGGTCGTTGTAGTAGTTGTGACATGAACTCTGCGTAGTTTTTCCCTTTCAAGGCTGAAAAAGATGCATCCTATCGTAGATTCTTAGTTTGCCAACTATGAAGCTTTGCAATTAGTTTCCATGAACAAAAAAACAGCCGTTTTATTAGTCCAAAACCGTTTAATTTAATTAAAATGGAAAAACAAACAAATCAACAGTAAGTAACTGTAAGTAAGTTGTAATCAATAATGTAAGTAAATCAAACAAGGTGCTGATAATTTTGAAGACATTAAAAATTCTGAAAATGGCAACATAAACCTAAAAAGTGAGTTTATACCTGCCATGCTGTTTTTAAATACTGCTAATTTAAAAATCTCAGTAACACAACACACAACAAAACATTACTAAGTGTATACCGTATAGTTTCTAATATAGGAATTTGGCTTTAAATATCTGAAAAATACCTCTACAAACACATTCCTGGGGTGAAAACTCCAGGTACTTTAAGCATTTTGTTGCATACATAAATAACAAATCAAAATCAATTCCTGGGCTTCAGTCATTTATTGTCTATTTATCAATTAAAATACGTTTCGATGTTTTCCACCATCATCAGTTTCTATGTGTAGCGTTGTTGCTACTTTAAGCCATGGCATATATTTTCAAGATGGTAGAATTATAAAATATATGCCAAGGCTTAAAGTAGCAACAACGTTACACATAGAAACTAATGATGGTGGAAAACATCGAAAC